AGGAATCGAGTATCACCCTTCCTGCCAGCAGCTTCCTGTGAGCATTTTTGGTGTGGTAACATGTATCCTATCTAGGAAAGACTTCATTCTCTACTTTTTAGACTCCCTTTAGTTTTCAGGCCACCTTCCCTGAAAAAGCACTTTTTCTGAGGCACCTGTGTGGTGAAAAGCCACTGGAGTGGTAATCAGAGACAGGTCATTAACTCCATCAAATGATGTCAGACCCAAGGCAGACATAACACTGCTTGTAATGAAGTCTTTTGTAATCTCATCGTTTTTAAACCTTCCAAAGGTTCTTTTCTTGTGAAGCCCTTGAGATGCAGAGCGCTTCACCTGGCAGAGAAGGAAGAGGCAGCTGAAGGACTGCTTGAGAGACTACTGCAGCACTGGTGTGAGTGTAGAAGGAGGACTGAGTCTCGTACAACTAGAAACTGTACAGAGTAGAATGAGGAAATTCCACAATGAAAGTATGAACCCAATCAGCAGAAAATGTTGGCCCTAGAAAATTAATTCTACAGAGCCTGCATGGTTTACTTGTCTAAGTCAAATTCCTTTTTCATTTGTTTGCTCGGTTGAAAATGGTTCCACAGTTGTCAGTGAGGAGATTCGGACTCATGGAGACCTCAGGTATCTCAGAGGAGAACTGTGCTGCACAGGGTTTTCAAGGTCTGATCTTTTTTGTGGGGGGGAAGCAAGAGATCACCAGGTTTTTCTTCTAAGTCACCTCTGGGAGGTACAGGAAGAAGTTATATTCTGCATACGTTCACTCTGACTTCATGCATTACTGCTTTTCTAATGGGTAAGTTGAAGTGAAATGTTCCAAAGAGCCTTCTAAATTCCAAGGCCCTAAAGGGTAAAGATAAAAATTTTGAAAGATGTGCCTATTTTATGCTGTTAGTATGAAACATTACAGATTCACTTTATTGTATTTTCATATGAAGAATTTCTTATCAAATATTGGTTTGAGGACATACCATACATACTCATACATAAGCCGAATTTTTCAGCACATTTTTAGTGCCGTTTCTGTGGTAAAATTAGGTGCCTCGGCTGATATTCAGGTCTACTTATATCTAAGTATATACGGTACATATGTTAACGCAGACATACATGTATGCATCACCGCACCAGTATTTGTGAGGATTATTTCTATGGAAATACAGTTGACAAATTAGTGGTGCTTCCAAAACCTTACATAATCTAAACCTTTTAACACTTTGCTCTGAAGAAAAACAAATTAATCCAAGAAGACGATGGATTTCCGCTTTCGTTCATTTTAGCTCCCCACACATTTCAGAGCATTACCTGAGAAAGCCACTCTTCATCCTCCTGTCCGCTGTGGTCAGAACCTAAACTGTCATAGGACCCGTGCCGAGTCAGGGGTCCAGGACTTCCAGGAGGAACCACTGCAGAAGGAAGAAAACAGACTTAACTCACTTTAAACCAGGTAGGGGAAAACAGATGCGCATGTACAGTTTTCAATGTGAGAATCTGGGAAACTGTGATGATTCAGAAGATAAAATATAGCAGCAGTTAAAGCACAAAGACAAGCCAATAATTAACCAACCTTCTTGAAAGACTTCTAATCATAAGCTTCAAAATGACCAACTATGGCCATCTTGTTTCTTGTATAATCCTTCTCCTCCCTAGTTCCACTCCTGGCAGTGAGTTTTTCAGCCGAAGCACCTAATTTTACCACAAAAACGTCATTAAAAACGTGCTGAAAGACTTCAACCTGGTGTTCTGGAGTGTGAATGCAGTGTGCTGGGATGGAGCAGGGAGCCAGTGAAGGGGTCTGAGGGCCTGGCTCCAAACCCAACTACATGGACAGCCGCCCCTCCCCCAGAAGCATTTACTTCAGAGGACAGCACTGAAGCTGCAGCTCCGGGAGAGCTGCAGCTCATGTCTGATCCGAGCACAAAGGAGTAAATGAAGGGGGAGGAAAAGAGAGTGGAGCGTATCCTGGGACAATATTCCCACACAGCACAGCCTATGGACAGAGAGGACCATATGGCCAGCCCCACTATGACACACGACGTCCCTCGCTGAACCATGGCCCCACGGAGACAACACTGGAGATAGTGTCAGGATTTCACCCC